CAGCCAGGCAAATGGTAGCTCAGGTCTGTAATCCCAGCACTTTGGGAGGATAAGGCAGGAGAACTGCTTGACGCTAGGATTTCAAGACCAGCTTGGGTGACACAGCAAGATCCCCATCTCTACAAAAAAATTTTTTAAATTGGCCAGGTATGGTGGCACATACCTGTAGTCCTAGCTATTTGGGAGGCTGAGCTGGGAGGATCCCTTGAGCTCAGGAGCTGGAGGTTACAGTGAGCTATGATTGCACCACTGCACTCCAGCCTAGGTGACAGACCGAATCTTAAAAAAAAAAAGCCACATGCCTAACAACTCAATTTCATATCTAATCCTCCAAATCAAAGTACAAGATAATCACCAAAACTGTGAATTCTGTGAACACACAGGAGTGACGACTGAGACAGTGTAGGAGACCTATTTGTTGCTAGAAATTCTCTGGGGACAGAAAAACCATAAGAGGATAAAATGGCTAGGAAGAAAAAATGAAATAAATGAGAAGATCCAGTTCCGGTATGCAATAGACTAGGAGAAGATGCTCCATATTTTTTTTTTTTTACTTTATTTATTTATTTATTTATTTATTTTTATTTTGGCATATTATGGGGGTACAGATTTTAAGGTTTCAATAAATGCCCTTTCCTCTCCTCCCCCGACAAGTCTGAGTTTCCAGCATGACCATCCCCCAGATGGTGCCCATCTCACTCATTATATATGTATATACCCACCTCCCACCCCCCTCCCCCCTGCCCAGTACCCTATTACTGTAGTACCTATGTGTCCACTTAGGGTTAATACCAGTTTAATACCAGTTAATACCAGTTAATACCAGTTAATACCAGTTAATACCAGTTTGCTGGTGAATATATGTGGTGCTTGTTTTTCCATTCTTGGGATACTTCACTTAGTAGTATGGGTTCCAGCTCTAACTAGGAAAATATAAGATGTGCTATATCACCATTGTTTCTTAGAGCTGAATAGTACTCCATGGTATACATATACTACATTTTATTAATCCATTCTTGGATTGATGGGCACTTGGGCTGTTTCCACAGCCTTGCAATTATGAATTGTGCTGCTATAAACATTTGGATGCTCCATATTTTTAAAGAAACTGACTATCTTTAAAAACTACATAGTAAATTAAGAAACAAGCAATTATCCATTCAAGGCTTGGCAAACACTTCCAAACAATTCTAATTGTACTAAACAAGAACCCAACAACCTTAGAGGATCCCAAAATAATTCTCTTGGGGAAACAAACAAAAGTCTCTTAAACAGATCAATTGAAACCTGTTATAAAAAAAATCAAGCACTATTTGGAATCCCCAATCATGACAACCAGAAATTAAAATTCTCAATAGATATCTATCAAACTGCTAAAGACTTAAACCAAATTACAAAATACCACTATTTATGTAGCACTGTTAGCCCATGATATTTGTATTTTCAATATCTCTGTAGTCAATTTTTCTACATGTATTGTTTTATATCCTTTAAAACATTTCTTCTCCCCACACTCTTAGCAGATAACCTCACTTGCTATACTTTGGATAAAATAGCCCTCAGATCTGCTGAGATACTTATGAACCCACTTAAATTTGCACTCATTCTTAAAAGTCTCTCCCACCCTTTGGCAATGAGATGGAAACTACTGCATCTCCTTTGCTATTAATAGCTTATTCTTTTATAATTGATACTGAAAGGTTAGAGTTCCCCAGGGATCAATCCTAAACTGTCTTCTCACCTGACTCTGTAATCCTCACTCTCCCTAGAAGATTTTACCATCTAGTTTCTGCCTTCTCCCTACAACCACCATAGTACAGGCCACCGTCATCTACCACCTGGATTACTGCGACAGCCTCCAAATTGTTCTATCTTCTACTACTCCTGGCCCTCTCCATTTCTTTTCCACCTATTATTAGTAAAGATCATTTAAAAATGAAAATCCCATGTCTTTAAAACCCTTGAATGGCTTTACTTGGCTCTTTGAACAAAGTAAATTCTTACCAAAGGTACTCCAATAGCTACTTCTAACCTATCTAGTGAGCTTTATCTAACACCACTCTCCCTCGTACTCACCATGCTTGAAAGACACCCACCTCCTATCAGTCACTTGAACACATTTTATTTCATAAAATAATCTTCCTTCCATCTGTGACATTTTCCCCTACTACTTTCAGCTCCACCTTCACATAGCTAATTCATAGTAATCCAGTTATCTTTCAGGGCCTCTACATAAACATTACTTCTTCAGAAGTCTTCCCTGACGACTCAGAATAGATTACGTATCTTATATACACTCTTATGGGATCTTGTACTTTTCCTTCACAGCACTTAGGAAAATTGTAATTAACGAAATGAGTATCCAACTAATGCCTGCTCCTCAATAGATGTAAGCACCATAGACAGGAATGTATATAGCTCATTCCCCATTGTATCTCTAACACCTAACAGAGTGTTTGGCAAGTGGAGACTCAATAAACATCTGTTGAATGAAGGGAATTTAAACAAATGAGAGCAAAAACTGTATTTAAATTATTTTAAATATTATCCATTACAACACAAGGAAGGGGGGACCTTTTTTTGATGATCTACTTCATTGATTCATTCAACAATGAATGTGCCAATGAAACACGGGCTAGGACTGATTTAAGCATTTGGTATACATCAATGAACAAAAGAGACAAAAATCCCTATACTCATAGAGTTTACATGCTAGAGAAGGTAAGACAATATGAATTAACATAATATTGGGGGAGGGAGGGACTACAGGATAAAAGGGATTGAGTCAGGGGGAAAATCGTTTGCAATTTAAGTAAGGTGGTTAAGATGGGCCTCATTAAAAAGGTGACATTTTAGCAAAGACTTGAAACAAATGAGAAAAATAGCCATGCAAATATCTAGAAAAAGTGTTCCAGGCCAAAGATCTCAAGGCAGGAGTGTTCTTGGTGTGTTTAAGAAATAAGGAGTCCAGTGGCTAGAGCAGAATGAGTGAGGAGGAGGAGAATTGGAGAAGAAGTCAGAGAGGTGAACCTGGAGGACGGTGGGTGGGAGAAGACAGGCACCAGATGATGTGGAAGACTGTAGGCCAGTGATGGAATTCTATGAGCCACATGTGTAATTTTAAATTTTCTAACAGACACAATAAAAAGGTAAAAAGAAACAGTGAAATTAATGATATATTTTATTACAGCATATACCCCAAAATATTACTTCATTACCAATGTAAAAATTATTAATACAATTGAGATATTTTACATTATTTTAGTACTAAGCCCTCAAAATCTAATATGTATTGAACACACTCAATTCGGATCAGCCACATTTGAAATGCTCAATAGTGGCTAACAAAATGGACAGTATAGCTATAGGCCATTCTAACGAGTCTGGATTTAGAAAAATGGAAAGGCTTTGCAGAGCTCTGAGCATAGGAGTAACAGGATTTAAGTTCTTAAAGGTCCAATTTCACTACTTATTGATAGTAACCTGTTAAGAAATCCAGGTGAGAGATGGTAGTAGCTTGAAACAGGGTAGTTGCAGTGGAGTAGTGAGAAGATGTCAGAATCTGGAGTTAGTTTGAGGGAAAAGCCAAGTGGATTTGCCAACTATTTAACGTAAAGTGTGAAAAAAAAGAGAGGGGTCCCTAGCACTTTGGGAGGCCAAGGTGGGAGGATCATTTGAGCCCAGGAGGTTGAGACCAGCCTGAGCAACAAAGCAACACTCCATTTCTTAGAAAAATAAAAAATTAGCCCACCATGGTGGTATGCACCTGTAATCTCACTCTCAGCTACTTGGGAGGCTGAGGCAGGAGGATAGCTTAATCCCAGGAGCTTGAGGTTGCAGTGAGCTATGATGGCACCACTGCACCCTAGAACAGGCAACAGAGCAAGATCCTATCTCAAAAAAAAAATAGAAAAAGAAAAAGAGAGGAGTCAAGGATATTCTGGGGTTCTGGCCTGGACAACTGAAAGGATGCAGCCGCCACTAAATCAGATGAAAAAGACTGCAGGCTACAATAATGAGTTTGATTTTAAACAATTGTGAGATGCCGATAAGCCATCCAAGTGGAGATCTATAATAGAACACTTAGATGAGTATAAGAATCTAAAGTTCATGAGAGAGGTACCAACTGCAGATATAAATTTGATAGCCAAAGGAGTGAATTTAGATACAGAACAGGTGAGAATGAAGGACAGAATCCTAGTTCCTGGGACACTTCAAGGAAAGAGATGGGGGAGAGGAGGAGGAACTAGACAAGTAATGGGAGAAGGAAAGACAGGTCAAACAGGAAGAAAATTAAGATAATGAGGTATCATGGCAGCCAAGAAAAGAAAATGTGACAGGAATGATAATCTTCAATTCTTTTTTTGGTTTCTTTGGTTTTGTCTCATGTGATTTCTGTCATGAAAGATACATGAAAATGTATGCCATTGATGTCTTTCCAGTTAACAATATCCATTTTGATTTGCTCCCTTCATCATCAGAGCCTGTGGTGATCTCTTGGCATCCCTAACTTCTAAGCAACAATGATCCCAAGTAATGGCTGGTCTTGCCACTGAGCTTTCCTGTGAGAAGCTCTATAAGAAAACTATGATGCAGTGTTTTAAATAAAAAAAAAAACCCAAAAAACAAAAATCACTGACCTACGAGAGCAAGCTTCAGTCTTTCCACTGCCACTTAACTAAAAAAAAACCTAACTTAAATGACAGTACAGATCACTATGCTTCAAAAACGTAACAAAATCAAAACACTGTACAAACAAGGGCTGTCATCCTAGCTAACGAATTGGACTTCATTAACTGCTGAAAAGAGGTGCTACCCAGAAGAGCTACAGAATTAGCCTCCAAATGACAAACGTGGATCCAAACTGGACAACGTCTAAAAGTTGAAAAACTGGAATTGCCTGCAACGATGTAATTCAGAAAGCACCAACAAGCACTGTGAAAACTGTTAAAGTTTACAGATGAAAGCAATTCAAATATACTATTATACATTTCCCTTACCAGGACTCACTTCACGCATCAAACTCCTGCCCACACCCCCAGTATCGGGAATAGAAACTTGTCCTTGCAGTCCCCACAGGCGGCTGGAGGATGTCAACGTACATTCCCTTCCCGCGCTCCCGCGCCCCCTGCCTCAAAGGGTTCCGGGATGGAGTGAAATCTCTGGCAGGGTCGCTTGTAAGTAGCAGAACCCTCCGGAGAACCTAAAGCTCAGGAAGAGTCCGCGGCAGGTGGAGCATCCACCGCAGACACGCGCCTAAAACAGCACGGTTTGCACTCTGCTGCGACAGGAAATTCCGCGCCAGAGCTATTTTCCCCGCAAGACAAGCCCCTGCCTTACCTCTACCAAGGCAGCTCACTGTCGCCGCCATGTCGACCACTCCGGATGATGTTCACGAAATTGGTCCTACGTTTCAACTGGGAAGAATATGTTTAAAGTTCTGTGCCGGAATTGGCAAGGGGGAAGGGGTTAGGAGGAGCAAGAGGAACAGGGCCGGGATCACAGCAGGCTTTACTTCCGGCATGGTGGTGTTACCATCTGTCCTCCGTCCTGCCCGGGACCCTCGGTTTGTGGTTCCTGTGAGACAGCAGCTTAACCGCCTTTGGGAAAATACGATCCTGTTGGCCATGCCGTAATTATTTATTCCCTTCTTCTCCTCCTCCTCCTCCCCTCCCCCTGCCCCTCCCCCTCCTCCTTCTTCTTCTCATCAACGGAAAAAAGCCAAACTCTGTAAAATAATTTTAAAGAGATTTATTCTGAGCCAAATTTGAGGACCATGAACCAGAGCCACTCCCAAGAAGCCTTGGGCAAGTGGACTCGCTGTGGCTGGGTTACAGTTTGGTCTTATACATTTCAGAGAAACAGGGGTTACAGGTAAAATCATAAATCAATACGTGGGAGGCATACCATGGTTTGGCCCAAAAAGGTGGGACATCTCGAAGTGGGGGCTTACAGGTTACAGGTGGGTTTAAAGATTCTTTGGCTTGTAATTGGTTAAAGACATGAAGCTTTGTCTAAAGGTTTGGAATGTTTTAACATAAGGAGCTGTTATCAGAGATAAGCCACCCCACATAGATTTGTTGTGTAAATTGAGGACCTGACCTGCAGGATTGTCTTTCATACCCTTAGGCCTGTTAGTGGGTTACAAAGGATGCCTCCAAAGGGGCATGATGAGGCCTGTCTGACCTCCCTCCTCCTGGCAGACAATTTAGTTTTAGGATATTCCTTTGGTCACGAGGGGTCCATTCAGTCAGCTGGTGCGGAGTGAGCCTTAAATTTTATTTTAGTTCACTTTCTTCTTCTCCTCTTCTTCTTCTTCCTCCTCCTCCTCCTCTTCCTCCTTCCTCCTCCTCCTTCTCTTCCTCCTTCCTTCTTCTTCCTCCTCTTCTTCTTCCTCCTTCCTTCTTCCTCTTTCTTCTTCTTTTCTTCTTCTTATTCTTTTTTTTTGTGGATCCTACATGGGTGCTCAGAACAATAATTTTAACAGATTTCTAAGAGTACCTAGGGCCCAGCCTAAAATCTTGAAAAACAAAACCCTGAAGAATCCCACCAGCTCCCCCCACACACACACCCAGCCTTGTAGAGTTTTAAAAAAATCCCCCAGTCTCTGATGTACAAGTTAGACAATGGGTCACAGTGGCCTAAAAATGGAACTTTCAATTTCAAAATCTTAAAAGGTCTCTATAACTTTTATCACCAAAATGGCAAATGGGAGGAGATCCCTTATGTCCAGGCTTTCTTCTATCTGCACTCCCGTCCTTCTCTCTGTCAGACCTGTGATCTCTCCTATCCTCCTTGCGCGGAGTCCTCCACCGTCCTTGGCCTCTTTCACCTCTCAGCCAAAGGACTCCTTAGAAACCTCTTTCGCCTTCTCTGACCCGCCTGACTCCTTTACCTCTCTCCCTGCTTGCCTCCACCATATCTGGGTTCTCCTCTTCCTACTCCTCCTCCTAGTGCCCCACCGTCCTTCACTACCGCTCATGCTGGCTCTCCACCAACGTCCCCTGTCAGTCACCACACTCGATCCCATGTGGGACCCTCAGACCAAACCTTTCTCTGTCCCCTGAGAGAGGTAGCTGGTGCCGAAGGGGTAGTGCACATGCATATTCCCTTCTCCCTTTCTGATCTCTCTCAGATTGAAAAGCATTTAGGCTCCTTTTCTAACAACCCCACGGCCTACACCAGAGTTCCACTATCTTACACAAACATATGATTTGACCTGGCATGACATTTTTGTTATTCTGGCCTCTACTCTTATGATAAGCTTAGAAAAATCACTCAGAAGCCAGATGAAAATCCCGCGGCCTTCCTCAGCCACCTTATGGATGTTCTCATCCAATATACCCGCTTAGACCCCACTTCCCCAGTAGGGGCCACTGTCCTTGCAACTCACTTTATCACCCAGACCTCCTCTGACATTAGACACAAACTTAAAAAGGCAGAAGAAGGCCCTCAGACCCCTATCCGAGACCTGGTAAACATGGCATTTAAAATCTTTAATTCCTGAGATGAACAGGCAGAGGCCCAAAGGGAGGCCCATATCTACCAAAAGGCACACCTGCAAGCCCAAGCCTTGGTTGCAGCCCTACAGCTGGTGGGGCCTGAAAAGCCATCAACCTTGTCTAAAGACACCAGCTGCACTCCGCTGGGCACCTGCTTCAAGTGTGGTAAGGAAGGCCACTGGGCCAACCAGTGCTCGCTGCCATGTCAGCCCAATAAGCCTTGTCCAGCCTGTGGTCAAGAGGGACACTGGAAGAGTGATTGCTCCTTGGGACAAACATCCAGAGGGTCAGTCCTTCCACCACCAGATCTGCTGTTGATGGTTTTGGGCTTGGCTGCAGAAGACTGACGAAGCCCCGCCTCTGCCACCCGATTACCCTCGCTGAGCCCAGGGTAACAATCAAGGTAATGGGTAAGACAGTGTCCTTTCTGGCCAACACGGCAGCTACCTACTCTGTCCTACCTCCTTTTTCAGGCCCTACTTATCCTTCCCAGGTGTTGGTTATGGGTATTGACAGCAATCCTTCACGGCCCCCTAATACCGGTCCCCTAACCTGTCTAATAGATGACCATCCCATCACCCATTCCTTCCTTATCATGCCCTCCTGTCCTGCTCCACTTTTAGAAAGAGACTTATTAGCCTAATTAGGCACCACCTCTAAGACTCTCTCAGCCTGAAAAACCCTTTTACCTCTACACAGATGAGCTCCAGGGCCTGGCCCTCAGTGTCCTTGCCCAGCCTTTGGGCTCCTGGAGCCCACCCACCTGAACTCCAGTGGCTTATTTACCCAAACAATTAGACACAGTGGTCCGTGGCTGGCCTACTTGCCTTAGGGCACTGGGTGTGGCAGCTTCTCACCAGAAAAGCACTAAAGCTTTCCCTAGGACAGGATCCACATATCTTTTGATACCCTCACCTTCTTAAATTCCTCTAAAATAGTCCCTAATATTTCCCACTATTTCCTCTGTGCCACCCTTCAGCGACTCCTGCTGGCTGCTGTCCCTTTAAACTATTCTAACCCCAAACAATTCCCTCATCAGCTCCCTTATTCTCCACTCTGCTTACTTGCGTTCCCCTTTGAGAACCAGAGCCTACAGGCCAACCCTATACAGATCGCGTGTGCTTTCTCACCTTCCACACTGACCCCAACCTACAACTTCATGGACGCTGCCTTACCAACCATACTGTGACCACAACCACCTCCTCTGCTCCGGGTCCTTGTTTCCCTGTCATAGTGGTCCCTCAATTAACTCTATACATGTCATTTCTGCCCAATATTTTGCAGATCGCCTACAAGTCACCCTAGAAACCACTTCTTCCTTGCTGGCCTCACTCCTTCATGAAGAATGCTGCTACTATATCAATGAATCGGGCCTTGTAGAGCAGAACACAGACAAGCTCACCAACCTGAGTAAAGACCTACACAACTGCCGACGCCAGGATGTATCCCCCTTCGGCTGGATACAATCCTCTTTGGCTACCTGGCTATTGCCATTAATAAGACCCATTGTCATCATCTGTCTAATCCTTCTCTTTGCTCCCTGTCTTTTACAGTTCCTCTAGCACCACCTACAAGAGCTGTCACGAGTGGCAGTAAACCAACTACTTCATCCGTACTCCCTACTACCAACCACCCCTCCACCAGCTGACGCTGGCCTATAGCCCCTAACAATGCCCCCTCCTAGCAGGAAGTAGTCAGAAAGAGCAGCATCCATCATAACCAAAAGGCCGGAATGTAAGGCTGGTGGCAGGCCCTCTCCTCTCCCTAGATCAAAAAGAACAGACTCATGAGACCAGACCCACCAAGGACAAAACTGTGAGGCCCCACTGAGAGGAACCACATCCAGATGTCCACCCAGATAACAACGTTTTGTCTCCTGGATTCTGCAAGTACTGCCAGCCCCTCCTATTTCTCAGTGACCACCAAAGGTCACCCCAGCTCTTCCCGCCAAAGTCTCTTGCCCGCCCAAATGGTATAAAAGGCTGCACCCCCTTCAAACAGAGGCGACTTCTGCCCCACCCTGGGACCCCAGAACCTCGTCCAGGAGTGCATAATTAAGCCACGTGGCTTGGCCCCCACTCTTTCTCTCTCTCTGTCTGTCTTTTCTTTTTGCCGCCGCTGAAAAACCTTACAAGCACATACTACAGTACGAGGCCTAAAAAGACCCTCAATACATTGTGGATGGAAAAATCCAAACTCTGAAATATTTGAAAGAAGTTTATTCTGAGCCAAATTTGAGGACCATGGCCGGGCCACTCCCAAGAAGCCTTGAGCAAGTGGGCTCGCTGTGGCTGGGTTACAGTTTGGTTTTATACATTTCAGAGAGACAGGGGTTACAGGTAAAGTCTTAAATCAATACATTAGAGGCATACACATTGGTTTGGCCCAAAAAGGTGGCCCATCTCAAAGTGGGTAGGAGGGGGCTTACAGGTTATAGGTGGGTTTAAAGATTCTTTGGCTTGCAATTGGCTGAGAGAGTTAGGCTTTATCTAAAAGACAAGAAAGAAAATGCTTAATTTAAGATAAAGATGTGAGTACTCTGGGAGATCCAGACAGGAGAATGTTTCAAGGCATCTGCTAGGATGCTTGAGATGGGGCTTTCTATCTTTTAGGTGATATTAATGCTATACCGGAATCAGGTTGGGAAGTAAACCACGCTTTATTTGGTTAACAAAAGCTTCTTAGTGAGAATTTACCATTTGTGAGGGTGACTTGTCTGGTCTCCTTAGGAAGGAATTTTGAGCAAAAGAAAAAAGATCAGAGTTCTGTCTTCAACATATTTGTTGAATAAATAAATATATGTAT